AAAATACCGTCCCCAAGATATATCACCAATTAACATTTTTAGCTTTGTTACACTCAAAAATGAGATCCTCGATTTTCTAGGATGGCCCTACTACATCTTAGAAAAATTGACTATTTTATACGCAATGTTTAACTTTATTGGATTTCTTTTCTCACTTTTAAAAGGAATCTACAACACATGTGCTATACACACACAAGTAAACAGACAAGCAAGCGTAGCACGCATACTCTTTGCAGGATTTTTTGGAATCTTTTCTACATCTATAAACAAAATTCTTTTAGACGCACAAATAAAAGAATATAACACAAAAATAGCAACACGACAAAATACATACGACGAAGAACATAACAATGTAGACATAACGCCAACGGCACCACAATTACCACCCCTACCAAATAACCATCCACTATCCCTAGTCCCACGAAATTTTCGAAATTTAGCCATCACACATAATCCAAATTTTCGACTCACCACATCACAAAGTCACATCCAACATATAATGACACACCAGTCACAAGATCAAAATACTTATGAACAAATTATTGAACAACCCCATACCACCGCTTTTCAGTCTCAAAATAATCATTTTGTTAGCCCACGATGAGCCGCCAACTTGGATCACTACACCGATCAAATTCCCACCCAACCAATCTTACCTCTCCAATCCCAATAATACCACTTTTTGCTTTTCCGCCACCCGATTTTCCATCTAGTAATGTAACATCAGGCATGAATTCCGACACTAATTCACACATCTCAGTTTTATATTCCATCTCACAACTCAATAACCCGAATATTGAAACCCCCGATGAATTTGCCGACTCAGAACCATCCCCATCCAATAATTTTCATAACTCTTCTAAATTTTCTCAACCCCCTTTTCAACCCATATTATCCAATAACCCTGACCCAATCACTCCCACACCCTCTTATGCTTCCCAAGTTACCCCAACCTACTCCTCATACCATTCTGACCAATCATCTCATTCTCCAGACACCCCCCGAATCTCCCCAGAGCTAGATAATTTTATTACCCTTCAACAACAACCCTACCACCTTAATACCCCAACCATAAACCAAATCTCCTCCACAATAAATTCATCCAACCCCCCTACCCCTACACCCTCTTCAAATTATACTGAATCATTAGCACCATCATCCACATCAACTGAATCTTCACTCAACACTAATAGAGCTTACCGCACTTTTAAAAGAAAGTTCCCCAACCATCCTTTCCCAGCAAAACCAGGAACAGCCCGTGAATACATCAACCACCCCAAGCATACTAACACAAAAGAATTTTTAGCCATCACCTTACCCTCATTCCCACAATACACCTTAAACACCCCCCACGACACTAACGAAACACGCAACTTTGTAGATGAATACGTTTTAATGCCCACTCTCTCTTGGACCTCATATTATCATTTTACTAACCCTCTTTGCTTACCTTTATCTAACACTCACATCGATATAGAGCGAAATACGGACATGCTATATCGACTCACTACACCACTAACCGCTAGACAATTTACTTACGTTGGATATAAAAAATCACTAAAAACACACACTGCACCTAGAGCTAACGAATATACACTCGAATACTATGATCACAACATCATCAGAGCTAACCAAGATCAATTCTTAGACGACGATCGCTTCGCTAATCCACAAATTACCGAGAAAGTTTTCATCAAGACACCATATATATTTACACTAAACATCTTCGACCGAAAGTTTGATCACATTATTTCAGAAGCACTAACAGACACACAAGCATACGAAAGTTTTAAAGAACGCTTCCAAATATTTTCACTAACCTTTCATTTCCTTGCACCACACGAAAGAGATTTACACTGCTCACACGATATTATGTTGCGCACTAAACAAACCCACACATATAGTTATTATCGCTTCATCCAAAATCACTTTGACCTACACACACCCTCTGGACAACCACACCATCGCTTTCAATTCATTAATTCCAAATACACTTCACCATTTTTCCTAAATTTCACATATTGCATTAAAGATACTAACCTTCATGGTATTCTTCGAAATTATGATCCCATAACCCAAATGTACATCTTCTGCCCCATCACCAAGACCTTCAACGCCGAAGAATCCCGACCCTTCCTTATCCCGCACGAGTTTGTACAACCTATAGAAATCCCAATTTTAGAATTCATCAACAACACTAAATTCAATCACAAATTATATAATCTAATCCAAAACACACCTTATGAGTTTGCAGTTGGCACTGAAGAACTAACCACTATCAAGGCACTTCAATTGCTTTGGCCACTGCTTCAGACTAAAAATATCATCCGCATCTTAGCTAAACTACTAACAACTTCAGAACTAATTCACGACATCTTCCCCCACGGTTTTTTCCCCGACGACTAACAGGTAAGTATGAATTAAATGAATATTACTAACTAATTAAAATATTAAAAAACTCACCATACTTTATTCATGTTTTCTTTAGATTTTTAGCCTTCATCCGACGATCACCTACAAAAACCACAAAAGACAAATAAAGATCGCAAATTTCATCAAACAGATTTCAACAATTCTATTAATATCTTACACTTATAAATTTATAAATTTAATACCAATGCAGTAAATTCATTTCTAAAATTTTCCCCACAGGCAGTAAATCTAATTATGATGAAAATTTGTAACTTAAAATTCCCCCATAACTAGCAGTAAATTTCCAAATTCTATGCAGTAAATTAATAAAATGCAAATGCAGTACTAACCTTTTGATATTCTCATTTATTCGCACAGAAATTCTATCCACACTCGCACAGCTCGCCCACGAAGAATTGTTTAAAATAATGAATTTCAGTTTCAAGTTTTCACACTCAACAACTCTAACATATAATAACATGTTTCAAACTTTCCTTTAACCCGGTTGGAAAGGAATCATATACTAAACAAAACTAACCAACGCAGCTTACTAAATACCACAAATCATAGAATAACAGCATGACTAAGAAAAGGAAACCAACGGTACCCAAACCGGATTAACCCAGTTTAAAACTGGATAATTTATTCTTTTGAAGACTATTATAAAGTCTAAGAAAGAAATAATAAAACACAAAAAAGTCGAAAGACAAACCCATACCACGAACAATTTGCTTTTTGGACAAAGGACATAACCAACAAGACATAAGAAAAACCACAACAAACCCAACATAAAACGTTGTCACATAACAGGACCCCTCACAAAAACCGCATGAAATCATACTCCCACTCCTGGCCTAACCCACCAGGAAGGACGTCCTGAGCATGCTCTATAGCCGGCCTAACCCACCGCGCTACATCCAAGCTTTGTGACCACACCTCTATTTTTAATAAGAGCTACTCAAGTGTGAGTAACTCTTCAAAATAACCGAACTAAAACAAAAAGCTTTTGTGAAAACAACTAACTAAAATCATAATTAAAAAATATTAAACTAATAAATGTTTTATAAAATGTAAATTACATTATGCAATACATAGATCAGAATACAACACCAAGGACGAACATCTAAAGACAAAACGACCCCACTACACTCGAGAGAGAATGGCCAACCACAATCGATATGCCACTCACAATCACAACTCAAAGGATTTAGAGTACGACTTGACTTCGCAGAAAAGGACTTCATTGAACTAGACCAATGACCACCTCGATGTTCAAGTATACGTACAGATCCGAGTAACCAGGCATCCCCTCCACGCACAATCTCCACGCCATTCCCAAACTAGATCAGACACAAAAGAAGTTCTCCACGCAGAACAGAAAAACCTGACATAGCCAACCATTCTGAAATCAGATTTGAGTTTGTTGCAAAGACTTAGTCGTTGTCACTAGAAGACACAACGTCTTATGTCTCTAACTCCAGCTTCCTGGAACTTCTTTAACAAAGAGGAAACAGAAGAAATAAGATGTTCGCCAAACACCAACGTCCATCATCCATCCTTCGAATTGCAGAAGAACTATTCTAAAAAACTCTGTAAAACCCGGATGGGTGGAACCTGATCTAGACTACATTTTATGATTGGATAATTTAGATATTTTACCAATGTAAAGTATTTAATATTAACCAATCATGATCCATCTAACTAACAACCCACTTATTTGTAAGTGCTGAAGTTACTTGTAATTTCAGCACCAGAGAGATTTGAATTTAACTTAGAAATTAGTTGGACTCTCCCGAGCACTTCAGCAGCCGCAATAAACCAGTATACCCTAGATCTATTGAGCCTAGCAGAGACTAGTTAAACAACCTGAGACTAGATAGTATAAGAGTAAGATTAGGATCGGTATTAGACTAAGAAGTTGCACGAATCTATCCGGCCGAAAATAAGATAGCGTGACGAGCAGACGGTGTACCCTATCCGAAATTACTCTATGAGTTAACCAACTCGGTCCTAACTCAGGAGGAACTTTGTCTTTGGGTGTGATTTAATTTTTTTTTTTTCAATTTTTTTCCACGCAAAATCAGATTTTACAAATACTCATTGGAGTGGGTCAAGTAAAATATATTTTGCGGGGGTTGCTTCAAAGTCAATTGACGGGCTCTTAACGCCATTTTGGGAATTAAAATTCAAAAAGAAAAATCTGCAAAAAAAACTAGAAAAACTAAGTGAAACTTTTAAAAATTTTCATACGATTTTTTGTTCGTTTTTTTAGTCTTTTTCTACAAAAACTGTTTTCCAATTAGCCTATTGGACTATGACTGTCGAATAAGCCTAATTTCTATTTCTTCGCTTAGGTTTTTTCATTACACGACAGAAAAAATGACAGTAATTTGAAAAAAAAATTGTTATGGTTATGGTCGGAAAATTCTGTGCTATTTACAGAGTAACCGTCTCTCCTTGTTCCTAAATGCGTTTCATCAGCCAACTTCTGCTTAAATTAAGTAATTTATGGAGCTTTTAGTTTAATAAATAATATGAATTGTTTTTCAACATTGTTGAATTGGCAAAAATGTTCATAGGTCACGGATATGGACTATTGGAGTGATGAATTTTGGAAGGATGATTACTTTTGGCTCTTCGAAACGGAGCAAAAGGGTGACTTTTGGGTTGGAATTTCAACTCTGAATGTCCACTTTTCCAGGAATGACGCTAATCCAATTAGTTATACCGAAGAGCTGGCATCTGCTTGCAAGGAAGCGCAAGTTTTATCTTACGACTTGGTTCACACATTTCAGCAAAATGGGTACAACTATTTTATAGAATATATCATTCAAAACCGTAGTGATAATTATGAGCAAAATAGTGAAGTTGGTCAAGAGCTTAACTTTACATTCCTTCAGCAGTCGATAATTCCATACTGCGGTTTTATTGATGATACGAGTAAACAGTTTGTTTTCTACGAATGCTCGGAAAACGAATCGATGCTGGCGTCTGGAGTTTTTTGTCACATGCAGAATGGCGAAGTGAAACATCTCTGGTTGGAAATTCTAGAAGATGAATCCCCCGCGGGAATGGACAGCGGTTGTACTGAGTTTCCAGATGGATCCGCAAACTTGAACTTTTTAGTTCACGTGGACATTATTGGCTCTATGGAACGAACAGTAAATTGTCATACAAGCGACTTCGACCACCGAATAATTGAATCATCGGTTCAAAACATCGAAGTTGCGAACGGTCGTCCTGGACTTTACACTGTATTGTTTATTCCGTTTCAGGTTCATCCAGCTTCGGTTTACTGCTCTGTATCCGTTCTGCCCATTGGTGCCTCAATTTCACTTTCGGCTACATACAACTTCGGCCATCTTCATGCCAATTATTCTTTACAAAGGCCCCATTTCGTTGATTTTTGGGACATTTTGAATAGAACCTACGTCGTAAACGAATCATACTTCGGAAAAGACGTTTCGCTTAACCTCGGAGCATTCGTATATCCTTTGCACAAACTAGAAATGACATTTCAGGAGTTCAATGGGCATCAAGAAGAGCGCTCATTTATCCAAAACGTAAGAATGATGTGCCTAAATAGATGCAATGGGCCTTTTGTTGTAACACATGTAGAAGTAGCATTGCAACTGGCAGCTTTGCAGAGCTCAGATACTGGAAAGTATAGTCTGAAAGCATGGTTTGATCAGGATGACGACACGAGTTTCTTTGAATTTGAAATAATACATCCTCCCAAAATATGGTGTGAAAATACCTGCCATGAAGCCGAAATTGGTAAAAGCCTGAAAGCATCTTGCAGCATCCAAAATCATCTCATATCACGCTATTTCACCCAACTTAACCTAATTCCGTTCGCTGTCAAAATCCACAAACTGAACCGCGGTCTAAAAACCGAGAAAAATTTATTGGAGTGTGAAGCGAATTTCAAAATGAATACAACTCTTCGGCGCGTGGATTTTTCTGGATACGATGTGTGGAGCCGAAAATTGATGATCGAGTTTGAGATTCGGAGCGTCCAAGAATGGACCGAAGGGTTGTATTACTTATCATTCGAGGTCATTGATAGTAATTTTTGTTATATGTTCGGTCGAAACGGATGCTCGTTTAATGTAGCTACTCCTAACTCGACCTTGGAACTTTGTTCAAATGATCCGATTCACGTGGTTGAAAATGATGGTTATTTTGAGGTTAAACTGAAAAAACGATACGGATCCCTTGCCTCGAGACCAGGTGCTTGCGGATCACAAAATCCAGAAGCGTTCTATTTCACTTCGGAGCTATCTGCCAAAAATGACACCTCAAACTACATCGGTTATGAGTACGGCACATTTTACCGACTCTGTCTAACAGACTTGGGGATCCATTCGGCAACGAAGTGCAACCTTGAGGGCGGACAAATAGTGACACATGAGATCCAAAACATGGTAGATTCAGATGGCCGATTGTTGCATTCTGCCGATCTCTCCTTCGAGAAAGTTTGGCGGGCACTGACTTGTAGAGCTCATTATGCTTGGAACGATGAAAAAACGTCATATCCTGACAAAATGAACTTCTTAGCCATTCGCGATAGCTCGTCGCTACCTTCACAATTTATCTATGACGTCGATCGGATTACGGAGGAGTTTTACGAGCGAAAAAATGATAAAAACTATGTTTTGTGTCGTTATAACCGAGGTTTTGTTTGGAACATGCAAAAGGCGCCTGGGAATTGCATGTACAAGATGATCGAAAAGCCCTCATTTGATCTATCGGTCGAAAAAATATTCGTCCAAATGCACGGCAGTTCTTCCGTGGACATACAGTGCATAATAGAAAATGGTAACATTCAAAACTTCCATGTGAAAACAAATGATACCAACGATTTTTTGGTATCCGTTCCAGTTAAAGTCAGCAACACACTTTCTCCAACCAGCTTTGATTGCAAGCAGATATTTGGCGACGGATCCAAAGAGCACACTCACTCAAACATGTTTAAATTTACAACCTCGCAAAACTATCTTCCAATATCGGTCGACCCAAGGATCGAAGAGGTGAACGTTTGGTGCATACCTCAAAAAGGAATGTTGAAGCAGCCTTGCTTTGGAGAAACTGTTATTATTCGGGCTTGTGCAATTGGCAACCCAATTCAATTTTGTGGCTGGGATTTTTACCAAGTGTTAGCAACTGATGGCATTGAACCAGTAAGATTATTGGAATCCGGATTTGATAACTACTTCATAAACAACACAAACCGCGAAAACCCGCAGTGCAATGACACACAACTTTGCTCTGAATTGACCATCAAAAATTTCACAAATCATTTTCATACAGGATTCTACTTGTTCAAGTGCAGTTCTGGCTTAAGTTCACACAGCATTGAAGAAAAATATCTCGAATCAACAAGCAAAATGATAAAAATAACTGCTCAACAGTCATCCTACATCCACGAGAAACCGTTTTCGTACCGACTTCAATGTTCACCTAATGCGACCATTCATGGTTCAATTACCATATATGGTCAAGAGATCGAGGCTAATGTAACTTGTGGGGCTCGTGATAAAAGTTACACTATTGTTCCTTATAGAATGGACGAGAGCTTGAGCGGAGAATCAACCATTAGTTTTCAGATTGAAAAGATTCAAGAAGATTTGTGGTGTGAATATTCAGGAAAAAACAAATTCGCAGAACGAAAATTGATCAAGAAATCTCAAGTGCCTCGAATAGTTGAATCGGTTCTAGTTAGTAACAACGGACTTACCGGTGACAATTTGCAATCTGTTTGTTGCGATGTTTGTGCCTACGATCTTCCGAATCGAGCTATTAAGTTGCAATGTGCTATTACAGTTTTGAGCAGTGTTTTCCGAATTCCATCAACTGAAGGTCCATTTTCATACGACGTTCAGTCTTCGACATACCGAAAATGTATCACTTTGGAAAATAGTCAGGTTGAAAATAACTTCAAATGCACTTGTGCTGTTAAATCACTGAGTAGTACTATTTCGTTTGAAGGAACCGAACTTGCGAAAGCTGCCGAAATCGTCACTGCTGGTACTGAGGCGCCCTTTACACTCAAGCCAGCAACGACTGACGTAGCCACTGGTGATGTAGCAAGTCCTCCGTTACGTCATACGACACCGGATGTCACTTCAACGGATTCGACTTTAGCTGTGACTGGCGTTCCTATTTCGCCACGTGAAATTAAGTTGTTTTCAGGACTACAGGCCTTTAGCGCAGGATCTAGCGATGGTAAAATAGGGTTCACAGATGTATATATCACCTTGAAGGCTCTCGCTGAGGATTTCGAATCGGACGAGTTATTGACATTGGCTGACATCCAGACTACGAGAACGATACTTCGATTAATGCAAAACATAAGCAAGTATGTGGGCTTTCACATATAAGCTTTTTTAAATTGCATTTAAAAACTTTAAAGTCGAGTTTTTTTTATTTTTATTTTAAATTTTGTTTTGATTTTTTTTTTTCAATCTATCGTCGTTTTCCTTGCCTTTTCCTCAGAAAGATCCGAGAAAAAACAAACAGTACAGAATGAGCGGGTTTTTGAAAAAAATTTTGGCAATCAGATTTCAGAAGGGTTCGAGAAGAAACGTGAATTTGAAGCTAGTTGTCATTAGGAAGAAGAAATTTGAGCTACAGGGGCGGATCTAGGGTTTTCTTGGGGGGGGGGGGGGATTTTCATTAAAAAAACTTCAAAAATTGATTTTTTCTTAGCTCTCCCAGAGCTCTAAAAAGACCCTGCTTCGTTTTTTTTGGCGTGTGCTCCCCCCTCAGAATTAGCATATATTGGCGCCTAAGGCGCCCTTAGAAAAAATTAAGGGTCCGTCACCAATGGATGTCTCAAAACAAAGGGGTACGTACCTTTTGGGTCGGCATGTGGTCGAATCCCTGAGGAAAGAGGCGTCCGCACGCCCCCCCCCCCCCCTAAATCCGCCCCGAAATTTTCACTATCTTATAACTGTCTTATAACATGGTTTTAAGACAGCAACTGTTTTCCCAAAAAAAACGCAAATTTTCAAGTTAGAAAATTTCAAAAAATCGCCAAAAACAATGAATTCAAATTATTGTTGAACGCTATTTCAAATAAATTTGGACTCATTAGCATTACATGTTTCGGTTATATGAATCCTTGTATATAATCGAATAGTTAAACCTAATACTTCGCATTGTTCAGGCTCATTAGGATCTTGATTTAAGTCAAGCTAAGCATTCTGTAATTTTGTGTTATGCGACAGATTGGAAGCTAATGGCCTGTTGGAGCTTCCGTGGAAAAAAGAAGACGCAACTCAAAACACAATGCAATTTCTGTTCGACATTGGACTGAAACTTCTTACGGATACAAAACACTTGAAAAATGACAGAACTGGCGAATTCATGTGTATACTAATTTTGGAGGATTTGACAGGCGCTTTTCAAAATTTAGCCAAACAGCTCCACTTAAATAAGAACGTTCTGGAAAAAAATGGTCTCAAGATCAAAGTGTGGAATTTTCCTCACATTTTGAACGAGATTGATACCTTGGAAAAGGTGGAGTTGGAGCAGATTGACACTGAAGGCATCGTCAAAGGCATGAAGCAAAGTGAGAAAATCAAAGATCTCATCACAACATTTTTTTTTCAAGACGTCTAAGACTTTTTCAAGACGTCTAAGATTTTTGATAGACCACAATGATCGCTCCACAATATTTTTTGGTAGTTCTCTTTTGATTGAGCTGTTTTTCATAGCGTGCGTTTTTTCAGAAAATCGTCGTTTTTTTGCTTAAGAATCTACAGGAGCTACAGTAAGTAAGCCCAAGAATATTCAATGCATATTCAGAGAATAATCAAATTAGCACTTTACAAAAATCCTGCAAAAATCCGTTTAAACATCCTTAGCACCTTGCAAAAATCCGTTTAAATCATTTTTCAAAATTTTGAGCATTAAAATGGATTTTTTAAGGCTAAAACCCTTAAAATATTTGATATATTAATTTATATGAACAAATGAGGTTAATACATTCGATTTTTGAAAATGGAGATGAAGTTTGTCTCTGGGTGTGTTTGCTTTTTTTGCTCTTTAACGAATTGCTTTTTAACTTTTTTTGCTTTTTTGCTTTTATTCAGCAAAAAAATTAGAATTTTTTTTCATATCTTTGCTTGTAATTTTTTCACTGACAACTTTTGTCAAATACGCCCAATTTACTATGTTTCTATGCGCTAGTACAATTTTCTCATTACACCGCTCACAAAAACACGACACTCAATTGAAAAAAAGTAAGAAAAACATTTTTTTTGTAGTTTTTGAATGTGGTCGCCACCTTATGTGCTACTTATACTGCAACCGGCTACCGGCTATCCTTGATACTAATTTTGCCGACCCATGGACATTTTAACATTCGTTATTTAAATGCTTCCAGTCATTTGCCCGCTGACATTTTGATCTAAAAGACTGATTTTGATTCAACAAAGTTTGGTTTGATTTTGTTCTGAAAAAGCGCCACTTTCCGACGAATCAATTTTGACCGTAGATTTTTTCCTGCTAGATCGTTGTAAACATGGAAGTTTGAATCTATACACTCGATAGTTTTTTTTTCGAAATCTGATTTAATCATGCAAGGTTTTTTGACAGTTTTGTTTTACCCACGGACATGAGTGGAGTTAAGGAAGAGGACGCACCCCCTACTCTCCTCAACTACCTTACCACATACAAAGGCCCCCTTTCCCCTTTGCTACTATTTTACGACATCCCTTTTCGGATGAACTATTCCCAGATTTTTTCAAAACGCAAATCTTGGTCAAAACCGTCCAAAGTTTTTCCAAAATATCATTTGCTTTCTGTTTCTGTTGCGGGATAACATAATCCATCCACGTCTTTAACGCATGAGGCAACATTAAGCATCACAGAAAAACAATCAGAAAAGTTATAGGAAGATCATTATCACAGGCACAACAGCGGTACCTCAAGAAAGCTGAACAGCTCATTAGTCAGGCCTTTCTTTTAGCTTTTGAAATTTATTTACCCAACAGCAAATTTCTTCACTTTTGTTTAAAAATCTTTTCTAGAAAGTATGTTTTTAGGGATTTCGATTGATATCGGTCAATTGGGACGTCTTCAAGAGGATGGAGGCACTGTAACTATGGCCATTGCAGACAGTTCTATAGTTCCTATGCCTCGTCAATTACTCTCAATCACCAAAGATGTCGCAAGCAGTTCCTTAGAGCAAATACGGTCTTTAAGAGTTGCTGACATTGTTTCGGTTCAGGTGCGAAACTCTACCGGTGATAAATTGACCGATGTCGCTCTTAACTACACACTGAATCTTGACGACGCTCACCCACAAGAAACACATGAAGGTGACTACTCGAGTTTGCTCTTTTGTCTGAACATCCTTAGTGTTTCAACAGTTAAGACCTTTTTGAGACCTTGTGTTGGGTCAGTCCCTTTGTGTTGGGGTCAGTATGTCAAAAAAAAAATTTGGCAGCTCGTGATCATGTATTCTAGCATTTTCTTGATTTTCAAAGCGGATAATTCGATTTTAAAAAAAAATAATTTAGGCTGTTTTGGGACAATTTAAATTCATACTGGTAATTTCTTTCCATCATTTCTAAATTTCGCGATAAACTGGGTTAACCTCCGTACAAAAACCGTTTACCTACTCAGATTGAACTCGCCGAGCTAATTAACACTGTTCCGGTAGTATAACAACATCATTTTGAATAGCATTTTTCTGAGATATCTATGCTCAAAGAATGAAATGTCAGTAATTTATACAGTACTGGAGTATTGATGGTTGTGGTTGAGAATGCCATCAATTAAGCAGCGTAAAAACTAATGCAATCAATTAAGCAGAGAAAAAACCTGAAATTTATAACCTAAACTTTCAACTAAATAATTTGATGTAATTATGCGCCCGCCTATCTGAGATTTGCTTCATATTCTCGATGCGTCCAAACACTTTGGCCACAGACAATTCAGCCGCTATGAACTACAGACAATTCAGCTAAAAATATACAGACAACTCAGCCACGGAAAGTTCAGCCAATGTGAAAAAAATTGAAAATTTGTTCTAAAATTAATTATAAGTGACCACAGAGTAGGGTTCTATACGAAATAAAGAGCCGGTTATTGCCGACCTTAAACTGAAAATTAACTTTAATTCCATTTTTTATCTATTTTTTTTTGAAAAACTGGCTGAATTGTCTGCAACTGAATTGTCTACTGCTTTTGGCTGAGTTGTCTGAATTGCAAATTGGCTGAATTGTCTTTAGCCCAGTTGTCTGTTTTAGAACTGATACTTCACTTCTTTACAGAACATTTGCATTGTGATACAATTCGGGGTATGTTACAGTTCCATTAATGAAGTCCATGGAAAATAGCTGCTCAAAAAATAAATTTTTCATGCTGTCAAATTTTAGGAAATCGTTTTAAATTGTTATTACACATTTGGAAATTAGGTTATGCATCCTTTGTTTGTCAAAAATTTACTTTTATTTTTGTTATTTTTAAAAAGTTTTCCATGTTCTGATTTTAGTCGCTCAATCAGTTCAATGCTCAAAAAATTCTCAAAATTTTGACTCACAATTTTAACTGTTTGCCTATAATGTAAAAATTTTGACTCACAATTTTAACTGTTTGCCTATAATGTAGTCCAAACAAAAATCAGATTTAAAATGTTCTGTGTTGTCAACAGCCTAACTTTTTGTTTTTAGATGACAGCATGTCAGCATTATACTCCGAACAGCAGGCCACAACTTTCAGTTATTGATAATGCGAAACAAAAGTCTTATAGTTATTTTTCCAGAAAAAATTTTGTGATAAAAGTTTGAAATTCCATTCTTTGGTTCACTCAGCTTATCTTAGTTTTTTTCGCTTTTCAGATGCCCTTAGAATGAATTAGGTTTCGCCAGAACAGACTGTAGCAAAAATTTTTCAGGAAGACTTTTGTGGAACCAAAAATCAAGAAGAAATTGGCTACCATAGATGAGGGGTGGGGTGGTCGTGTTCAATCAAATAATCAAATTAAAAAAAACAGATGAAAATTATTTTCTTAGTTTCACAAATGATTTTTACTGAAAAATCCAGGATATCCGGTTACCCGATAAGTAGTACAGAATGATTCAACAGCACTGATTTAGGAAAAGAAATAAAAACTAAAGAAAAAAAAACTTCATTTTTTGTCAAACTCCATTTTGTTTTCTTTTCAAGAAAAGACAATTGAATAAAATGAAAAAAAAAACCGTGGCTATGAACAGTAATTTTACTTTAAAATTGTAATAGATGAAAACTTTGAGGTCCGCCTCTGGCCATGTTGTTTAATTAAGTCTGAAAATCCGAAAACAATCAGAACAATTTTTCTTGTTGCTCAGACAAACTTTGGGAATTTTTTAGAAATACAAATCAAAGCTAAGAAAAACTTTTAAAATGAAACGCAAATAAGCTCAAATTACTCCATGTGAGCTTCTCTGAGGTAATCAAAATTTGGTTAAAAAACAGAATACATGCGATTACGGATTCAAATGTCGAAATTTTGACAAAAATATGATAGTAGATGCCAAATTCTCAAAAGTAAACTATTTTAAGCGCGTTTTTAAGGGTTTCAAATATGGCTTAGGACATGGTTATCTTGTTTTCTTTTTAGTCTTTCCATAGTTTTACCTATTTTTTGAACCTATTTTGCTTGCCGTAATATTGTTTTTAGATCCCCGCAATGAAGTTCCATGGCTAATAATCAATTACGATGGATTTTCATCGTCTGTCTCCGTAAAATTCAAAAATAAATTATTATAATGGAATCATAATCGATTATAAATCAAATATAAAAAAAATCAATCTATTTCATTATAATCTATTATAATGGATTTTCATCATCTGTATCCGTAAAATTCTACAATAAATGATTATAATGGATTAATTATAAAGGATTTTCCAGAACATTAAAATCAAACATTCAAAACTTGAAAATTGTAATTGATAAACTGTATTTTAAATTTGACTACAGTAAGAAGTTGTATTGTTTTCTATTTTTTTCTATACTTGTCTAACCCTCCCCTAAAAATACTTGCACTAACTCGTACCATTCTTACGTTCTTCACTTACCACCACCTCACCCTCACCTCCACTCCCAAAATTTAACAAAATGTGAGTAGGCTTAGAAAATGAGTAGACTGTGAAAAATGCAGAAAAAAATGAAAGTTTCGCAGAAATTTTTGATAAAAATTGTAGATATTAAAATCCATTATAATCCATTATAATGGATTTTACTTGGATTATAATCGATATAATTTCTCTAAAAATACTGGGCTATAATGGATTTTGATTATTCAAAAATTTTATGGCTCACCCCAACACGTGTGGCCAGCAGTCAAAAGTTCAAATAAAATAGAAAGTAAAATAAGTTTGTAAGCATGCTTAAGGTTCATTCACGACCAGAATAGAAGTGAACTGTCGATACTTCAACCTACAGAGCCACTCGTTCTCTCTGTCTGGCATGGATGACATAGAAGTGTCTAGGTCCCACATCCAGAGTGCGTCGAGCCACCTCTCCGCTTTCTCCGCTGTGTCCACCACTAACATGTTCAAAAACGACCCACAAGTTTCGGTTAGCATGGTGCTTTCTTTACAGAGAATCATGACAATTTTTTAAACTTTGACTTCCGAGCAAAAATTTGTTGGAATCGGAAACCATCTTTTAGTTTCAGGATATTTGTTGTTCAAATTGATATGAAATATATCGTCACATTTTATTCTGAATCTTTTTGTTGATTTTATTGTAAAAATTAGAAAGGGTAATTAGCGTGCAAACATATGACTTATGTCGCCACCAAATGCGGTTGCGCAACTGTTCATCTCACTTGCGCCGAGGTTAAAGTCGCAGAATTGATGCATAGTTAAAAATGATCACGCAGAGTCCCGAAAGTCGCGCAAAATTACAACACAAATCGATCAAAGTCACAAACAAGCAGCGGACGGTCGAGTCACCCAAAAAGGGACCCTATTAATTTGCAAATCTAGGGGTTTCCGTAGAAAATATTAATTTTTTTGAGTTGTACTAGTCATTCGTTATATCTTTTCGTTACAAATTTAGAACTAGAAACTTTTAACGATCTTTTTTCTAAAATTAAATCACAATTTATGAAATGATCACCTTTTGTTCTGCTTAAACATTGTCACAAAAATTTACGCGAGAAGCATAGACAGCAATTTTTTTCCTATAAACCCCATACTTAAGGCATAGTTGCAACATGAGCAGCGCACCAAAGTTGGACAAAAAATCAATATAGAAAAAATTGGTTGCGCAAAGTCACAAAACTTGCGCGCAACTATAATATCATATCGCGCAAAGCCGCAACAAAATAGTCGCGCAAACTTTCTCGATAGACTTTATGCATATTGAATTTTGAAAATTTCAGCTAAAAGAAAAATCTTATTTCCGAGTTAGGGGCGGATCTAGGATGATTTTTCAAGGGGGCGAAGGATTTATATAGCGTCTTTTAATAACTTCAAAAGCTCAAAAAACTGCAAAAAATCAGTAAAAGTTTTTTAATTTATATGAAAAAATGAGGTTAAAACATTCGATTTTTGAAAATGGAGATGAAGTTTGTCTCTGGGTGTGTTTGCTTTTTTTTTGCTCTTTAACGAATTGCTTTTTAACTTTTTTTGCTTTTTTGCTTTTATTCAGCAAAAAAATTAGAATTTTTTTTCATATCTTTGCTTGTAATTTTTTCACTGACAACTTTTGTCAAATACGCCCAATTTACTATGTTTCTATGCGCTAGTACAATTTTCTCATTACACCGCTCACAAAAACACGACACTCAATTGAAAAAAAAGTAAGAAAAACATTTTTTTTGTAGTTTTTGAATGTGGTCGCCACCTTATGTGCTACTTATACTGCAACCGGCTACCGGCTATCCTTGATACTAATTTTGCCGACCCATGGACATTTTAACATTCGTTATTTAAATGCTTCCAGTCATTTGCCCGCTGACATTTTGATCTAAAAGACTGATTTTGATTCAACAAAGTTTGGTTTGATTTTGTTCTGAAAAAGCGCCACTTTCCGACGAATCAATTTTGACCGTAGATTTTTTCCTGCTAGATCGTTGTAAACATGGAAGTTTGAATCTATACACTCGATAGTTTTTTTTCGAAATCTGATTTAATCATGCAAGGTTTTTTGACAGTTTTGTTTTACCCACGGACATGAGTGGAGTTAAGGAAGAGGACGCACCCCCTACTCTCCTCAACTACCTTACCACATACAAAGGCCCCCTTTCCCCTTTGCTACTATTTTACGACATCCCTTTTCGGATGAACTATTCCCAGATTTTTTCAAAACGCAAATCTTGGTCAAAACCGTCCAAAGTTTTTCCAAAATATCATTTGCTTTCTGTTTCTGTTGCGGGATAACATAATCCATCCACGTCTTTAACGCATGAGGCAACATTAAGCATCACAGAAAAACAATCAGAAAAGTTATAGGAAGATCATTATCATAGGCACAACAGCGGTACCTCAAGAAAGCTGAACAGCTCATTAGTCAGGCCTTTCTTTTAGCTTTTGAAATTTATTTACCCAACAGCAAATTTCTTCACTTTTGTTTAAAAATCTTTTCTAGAAAGTATGTTTTTAGGGATTTCGATTGATATCGGTCAATTGGGACGTCTTCAAGAGGATGGAGGCACTGTAACTATGGCCATTGCAGACAGTTCTATAGTTCCTATGCCTCGTCAATTACTCTCAATCACCAAAGATGTCGCAAGCAGTTCCTTAGAGCAAATACGGTCTTTAAGAGTTGTTGACATTGTTTCGGTTCAGGTGCGAAACTCTACCGGTGATAAATTGACCGATGTCGCTCTTAACTACACACTGAATCTTGACGACGCTCACCCACAAGAAACACATGAAGGTGACTACTCGAGTTTGCTCTTTTGTCTGAACATCCTTAGTGTTTCAACAGTTAAGACCTTTTTGAGACCTTGTGTTGGGTCAGTCCCTTTGTGTTGGGGTCAGTATGTCAAAAAAAATATTTGGCAGCTCGTGATCATGTATTCTAGCATTTTCTTGATTTTCAAAGCGGATAATTCGATTTTTAAAAAAAAATAATTTAGGCTGTTTTGGGACAATTTAAATTCATACTGGTAATTTCTTTCCATCATTTCTAAATTTCGCGATAAACTGGGTTAACCTCCGTACAAAAACCGTTTACCTACTCAGATTGAACTCGCCGAGCTAATTAACACTGTTCCGGTAGTATAACAACATCATTTTGAATAGCATTTTTCTGAGATATCTATGCTCAAAGAATGAAATGTCAGTAATTTATACAGTACTGGAGTATTGATGGTTGTGGTTGAGAATGCCATCAATTAAGCAGCGTAAAAACTAATGCAATCAATTAAGCAGAGAAAAAACCTGAAATTTATAACCTAAACTTTCAACTAAATAATTTGATGTAATTATGCGCCCGCCTATCTGAGATTTGCTTCATATTCTCGATGCGTCCAAACACTTTGGCCACAGACAATTCAGCCGCTATGAACTACAGACAATTCAGCTAAAAATATACAGACAACTCAGCCACGGAAAGTTCAGCCAATGTGAAAAAAATTGAAAATTTGTTCTAAAATTAATTATAAGTGACCACAGAGTAGGGTTCTATACGAAATAAAGAGCCGGTTATTGCCGACCTTAAACTGAAAATTAACTTTAATTCCATTTTTTATCTTTTTTTTTTTGAAAAACTGGCTGAATTGTCTGCAACTGAATTGTCTACTGCTTTTGGCTGAGTTGTCTGAATTGCAAATTGGCTGAATTGTCTTTAGCCCAGTTGTCTGTTTTAGAACTGATACTTCACTTCTTTACAGAACATTTGCATTGTGATACAATTCGGGGTATGTTACAGTTCCATTAATGAAGTCCATGGAAAATAGCTGCTCAAAAAATAAATTTTTCATGCTGTCAAATTTTAGGAAATCGTTTTAAATTGTTATTACACATTTGGAAATTAGGTTATGCATCCTTTGTTTGTCAAAAATTTACTTTTATTTTTGTTATTTTTAAAAAGTTTTCCATGTTCTGATTTTAGTCGCTCAATCAGTTCAATGCTCAAAAAAATTCTCAAAATTTTGACTCACAATTTTAACTGTTTGCCTATAATGTAAAAATTTTGACTCACAATTTTAACTGTTTGCCTATAATGTAGTCCAAACAAAAATCAGATTTAAAATGTTCTGTGTTGTCAACAGCCTAACTTTTTGTTTTTAGATGACAGCATGTCAGCATTATACTCCGAACAGCAGGCCACAACTTTCAGTTATTGATAATGCGAAACAAAAGTCTTATATTTATTTTTCCAGAAAAAATTTTGTGATAAAAGTGTGAAGTTCCATTCTTTGGTTCACTCAGCTTATCTTAGTTTTTTTCGCTTTTCAGATGCCCTTAGAATGAATTAGGTTTCGTCAGAACAGACTGTAGCAAAAATTTTTCAGGAAGACTTTTGTGGAACCAAAAATCAAGAAGAAATTGGCTACCATAGATGAGGGGTGGGCTGGTCGTGTTCAATCAAATAAAGAAATTAAAAAAAACAGATGAAAATTATTTTCTTAGTTTCACAAATGATTTTTACTGAAAAATCCAGGATATCCGGTTACCCGATAAGTAGTACAGAATGATTCAACAGCACTGATTTAGGAAAAGAAATAAAAACTAATGAAAAAAAAACTAAAATTTGAAAAATGAGTTTTAAATACTTCATTTTTTGTCAAACTCCATTTTGTTTTCTTTTCAAGAAAAGACAATTGAATAAAATGAAAAAAAAACCGTGGCTATGAACAGTAATTTTACTTTAAAATTGTAATAGATGAAAACTTTGAGGTCCGCCTCTGGCCATGTTGTTTAATTAAGTCTGAAAATCCGAAAACAATCAGAACAATTTTTCTTGTTGCTCAGACAAACTTTGGGAATTTTTTAGAAATACAAATCAAAGCTAAGAAAAACTTTTAAAATGAAACGCAAATGAGCTCAAATTACTCCATGTGAGCTTCTCTGAGGTAATCAAAATTTGGTTAAAAAACAGAATCCATGTGATTACGGATTCAAATGTCGAAATTTTGACAAAAATATGATAGTAGATGCCAAATTCTCAAAAGTAAACTATTTTAAGCGCGTTTTTAAGGGTTTCAAATATGGCTTAGGACATGGTTATCTTGTTTTCTTTTTAGTCTTTCCATAGTTTTACCTATTTTTTGAACCTATTTTGCTTGCCGTAATATTGTTTTTAGATCCCCGCAATGAAGTTCCATGGCTAATAATCAATTACGATGGATTTTCATCGTCTGTCTCCGTAAAATTCAAAAATAAATTATTATAATGGAATCATAATCGATTATAAATCAAATATAAAAAAAATCAATCTATTTCATTATAATCTATTATAATGGATTTTCATCATCTGTATCCGTAAAATTCTACAATAAATGATTATAATGGATTAATTATAAAGGATTTTCCAGAACATTAAAATCAAACATTCAAAACTTGAAAATTGTAATTGATAAACTGTATTTTACATTTGACTACAGTAAGAAGTTGTATTGTTTTCTATTTTTTTCTATACTTGTCTAACCCTCCCCTAAAAATACTTGCACTAACTCGTACCATTCTTACGTTCTTCACTTACCACCACCTCACCCTCACCTCCACTCCCAAAATTTAACAAAATGTGAGTAGGCTTAGAAAATGAGTAGACTGTGAAAAATGCAGAAAAAAATGAAAGTTTCGCAGAAATTTTTGATAAAAATTGTAGATATTAAAATCCATTATAATCCATTATAATGGATTTTACTTGGATTATAATCGATATAATTTCTCTAAAAATACTGGGCTATAATGGATTTTGATTATTCAAAAATTTTATGGCTCACCCCAACACGTGTGGCCAGCAGTCAAAAGTTCAAATAAAATAGAAAGTAAAATAAGTTTGTAAGCATGCTTAAGGTTCATTCACGACCAGAATAGAAGTGAACTGTCGATACTTCAACCTACAGAGCCACTCGTTCTCTCTGTCTGGCATGGATGACATAGAAGTGTCTAGGTCCCACATCCAGTGTGCGTCGAGCCACCTCTCCGCTTTCTCCGCTGTGTCCACCACTAACATGTTCAAAAACGACCCACAAGTTTCGGTTAGCATGGTGCTTTCTTTACAGAGAATCATGACAATTTTTTAAACTTTGACTTCCGAGCAAAAGTTTGTTGGAATCGGAAACCATCTTTTAGTTTCAAGATATTTGTTGTTCAAATTGATATGAAATATATCGTCACATTTTATTCTGAATATTTTTGTTGATTTTATTGTAAAAATTAGAAAGGGTAATTAGCGTGCAAACATATGACTTATGTCGCCACCAAATGCGGTTGCGCAACTGTTCATCTCACTTGCGCCGAGGTTAAAGTCGCAGAATTGATGCATAGTTAAAAATGATCACGCAGAGTCCCGAAAGTCGCGCAAAATTACAACACAAATCGATCAAAGTCACAAACAAGCAGCGGACGGTCGAGTCACCCAAAAAGGGACCCTATTAATTTGCAAATCTAGGGGTTTCCGTAGAAAATATTAATTTTTTTGAGTTGTACTAATCATTCGTTATATCTTTTCGTTACAAATTTAGAACTAGAAACTTTTAACGATCTTTTTTCTAAAATTAAATCACAATTTATGAAATGATCACCTTTTGTTCTGCTTAAACATTGTCACAAAAATTTACGCGAGAAGCATAGACAGCAATTTTTTTCCTATAAACCCCTTACTTAAGGCATAGTTGCAACATGAGCAGCGCACCAAAGTTGGACAAAAAATCAATATAGAAAAAATTGGTTGCGCAAAGTCACAAAACTTGCGCGCAACTATAATATCATATCGCGCAAAGCCGCAACAAAATAGTCGCGCAAACTTTCTCGATAGACTTTATGCATATTGAATTTTGAAAATTTCAGCTAAAAGAAAAATCTTATTTCCGAGTTAGGGGCGGATCTAGGATGATTTTTCAAGGGGGCGAAGGATTTATATAGCGTCTTTTAATAACTTCAAAAGCTCAAAAAACTGCAAAAAATCAGTAAAAGTTTTTTTTCTGATTTTTTTCTGTTTTTCTGATTGCTTTTCTACAACAATTGTGCTTCAATTTACTATTTTACCATGACTGTCGAATATGCCTAATCTGTATCTTTTCGAATATTTTTCGTAAATTTTTTTTGCGTTTTTAGACTATGGTTGGAAAATCCTGTGTTGCTTGCAAATTAACCGACTATCCTTGTTGCTGTATGACTTTTGATTTCTTTTTTAGTTCAAATTTTTTCCTTTCTTAAAATGAAGGCGGCAAACTCCACTATCAATTGGTAAAATTGTGAAAATTCCGAAAAGCAAAATCAAATTCTAGTTTTGAAAGTGAATCTTTTAATCTTGAGATTTCCCAGCGCAATAAATGATCCACTTTTTTAATCATTAGAATTAAAGAATTAAGTTGGGTTCATTTGAAAAATTTCAATACTATGTTTTTTTTTGAAATTCAAGAAAATTAAATGCCATACGAGTTGTCTTGTTGTATATTAGAGCCTAAGATAATAAGTTATCGACATATTTCTATCGTCATTAACCTCTAAAGCAAAAACCTATTGAACACTATTATCTAGACCTCATTAAGCTCAAAAATTCTAATTTGCAAACAATGCGTCAAATAGGGGATTATAACCCAAAAAAACTCAAAATCTTCTTGTGACAAATGACTATCTTGAAATACCTTTGTCTCTCAATACATAAACATGCAAGCCACCATAATAATAAAATTGTTAATATTTAATGGGAGAGGGGACGATTAAATAAATGTTATCTTTTTCAGGATGAAGTAAGCTCTCTGTTGTGGCCCGGATGCTTCGTGTCTCTCCTGATCTTGCTGGCCATATTCCACACTCTGCTCTACCTGGACCCCTACATGGACGACCAGGAGGAGAACCGGATGGACTTGGTGCTGGTAGCATCCGCTGCCACCTTCATCTCCGCATACATCGCCACGTCTGACAAGGTAGGTCGCAACTAAATTTATCATATGTTGTCTGCTAAATAGTTAAATTTGGTCGATTTCTGTTGAAATATAGAAAAAAATCTCCATATGGTCCAAACATCTCTTTATAGATTGTATATATTATTGTATATATCACCATATTTCACTCATTAAGTCGTTAAGACTTTCCGTATCGACCGAGAGGGCCAACAGAGTGTCCGCTGTACAACCCAAGTTCCATCAGTCGACCAAACACTTGTGTTACTCCAACATTGATCTATTAAGTTACCAGGATTTAGCAGATTTGCAAAACATCTGGCCCCAAGCCCTAAAACACTTCTTTTTTTCTAATTGTTTTTTTTTCCAATTTCGCAAATGATTTTCAATTCAAGTTTGCAATTCAAGTTAGCGATTGAGTGAAACTTTTGTATAAAATTCTTAGAAACGATCAAGCCAAGTACCTCAAATATCACGCAAGATACGGTCAAAGTAGTAAACATCACCTGACGACATCCCGAACTAAGAAGCATTGACGACGAGGGAAAAGAAAATTGTCGCAGAAAAACCCGAGACACCGAAAATGAACGAACAATTACAACCAAGGAGCACTAGAAGCAGCAAGACGACGAAGAGAACGAAGAGGTCATCATCGACACCAAGCAAAGCGAAAATGCAGCTAAGCAAACAACTAAAGAAATGCAAGAACCCGCGGAGAGTTAAACAATCGAAATTTGCCAAGGGACTCATCATTCTAAACTTAGTCAGTCCTACGGGGATTAAAAACTCAAAAAAATGTATTTTTGTTCAGAGGAGGGAATGTCATCTGCTCTTCTCGATAGTTCGTTTGTTTCATTGATTGCCAAACACTCGGGTTGATCTCCAACTCTTTAATGCTGATAATGGACAAAGAGATCGAAAAACCCGCTGAGCATCCCACCATTCCGGCAGAAGGCAACGGTGGAACTGCCAATGGAATGGACAAAATGGACAGCCATGATGGAGATGGCCGTCCTGGCCAAAGACGGTAAAAAAGTACGAATGCTGCTTCAATCAAGAACACCAATAATAGAACCAACAGAACCAATCTACGAAATCGAGATTAAAGGTGAGACTGAGGCGGAAAAAGAAAAAAGATATATACGAAATCAGGACAAAATTGTCAACTGGGAAAACCCCACAGCAAAAAATAGAGAAAGAGGCAACAATTTACCACGGGACGAAGCAGATGCCAAGGTGAGAAGATATAAATCCTTGTGCATAGGAGCAGAAGGCCAAAGGCAGTTACAACAAAACGTCCTGGACTCGAGAACGTCCTTGACTCGTTTTTTGGTACAACGCGAACTTCATCTACCGGAAACAACAGAAAAACGAATCATCAAAGTAATTCCATACGGATCTAGTCGAGCTAGCGGCACGGACCGACTGCGACGACACAAAAGATGAATGGGTCTGAGACATGTTCACGGCCCATATGACAAATGAAAAAATCGTCGAAGAACTACTGGCAGAGACGAGGTCGCCACAGAGTGCCTATGAATATGCAATAAGACGAGAAAAAGGGATAGAACACAATAGGACCATAAAAACCAATCCATTCGGTCCAACAACAAGCTCAACGACAATTAAACAAGAACCCATGGGATACGTTCACCCACGCGGCAGAAGAAGCCCAAGGGGGCACTCAAACAGTCATCGTGGCCGAGGGTTCAGCAGAGGCCGTCAAAAATTTCCACGAGGAAATGATAGTCAATCCAGAGGAATGCAATATCCACAGAGCAATTAAAAAAGTTGCCCTGACCGCTTACAACCGTGCCCAGCTAAAGATAAAGTCTGGTCAAAATGTGCAAAACAAGGACACTTCGCAAAAGTATGCAGATCAACAAATGTAAATTACACGCAAGAGTCAAACGGAGATCAACCCTAGAACGTGCAGGATGGAAAAACTGAAGCCGAAGAGAACGACCCCGTAGCCAGACGGTTGAGAAGACATTCCACGAAACTATTTTTCGATAAAGGACATTTCCAGAGCTTTGAAATTAAAAAATGATCTGAAAGAAGACGATTGAAATGGCCACATTACGAAAGCTCATATAAAACGGTGTGGATTTGATAGTGGAATCTCTTTTTTAGGAATTCAAGAACAATAATTCGCATAAAAAATTCCAAATTTCAAGAAAAATTTTTTGGATCTTTTGCGAGACTTTCTAACAGTTCTCAATTACTGCCAACATTTTAATCTCAATTACTGCCTAAAATTCAACCTTACTAACTGACAACCGTACAAACCAGCTAAGTACCACCAGCTAAATCTCAAAAACTCGAAGAAAAACACCGAAAGGATGAATTCTTCTCCGATCTCAAAAACTGAAACAATGAAAACCAATTGTAAGAAGCTAAATCATGGATAATTCGTTTAAAAATTTCAATTAGTTTGGCTTTTTTATTATTATTTTCAAAAATTTTCACGCAAGATTTTCAATTTATTCCAAAAATTAATCCAAATAATAAAGCGAACATATAAGAACTTAGAGATTAGGTCCTGAACAATTTGAAATGATAATCTTATATGCTGACAGTGCAACTTGATTAAGTCATTCTTAGAGAAGGAATAGTTTTCCGATCTCAAATACTAAAAAGATGAAATCAAACTGAGGTAAACTATGTATGATTTATAATGCTGAATTTATAAAATACTTCTTTAAATCAAACTTTGAAAAAAATTACCCCAAACACTAAAAGGGTAGAGCCACTATTTTAGTTAATTAATGATTGAAGATTTGTTTGTGGATTACGCTGACAATGGCTAAGTCCTTGAATTTAAGTTCTGCATTTGCTAATTAATAGTATCTAGCTTTCAGTTTTTCACACACAAGAACTGGCCTACTGCAGTTAATAAAGAAAATTGCGAATTCGTTTCCATTTGCCGATTCCGCTGACAAAAATTGTGGGTTCGAGTTGTAATCGCAAAATTTTCTTTCATTTTTTGGAATCCCGTTACAGTTGCGGAATTCAGAGCAACTATCTAAGCTCGGTTTTTCGCGGAAGCCGCGACAAAAAAAATGTGCCGACAAATTTACACATGCCACAGGTATGTGTAATTTTGTGAGTGGAATTTTGGAACGTTTAAAGACTTTGGGTACCATTGATCTACAGGCACCAAATGTGAGCTCACCCAGTTACGCCTCTTAATATATAAATGACAAAAATAGTGAAAAACTTATGCAAATTCCATACTTCGAATTGAATTGTTTCGAACATCTTTTTGAGGAAAATAAAACAATTTTGAGTTCATTTAAAGCGCCTTGCCCGCGGTAACAGAAGTTAGTCTAAAAATTGTAAAGTAGAGACATTACCATAGAGTTATTTGAGCAAATGAAGGTCAAAAACACCTCTTTCCCGCAATTATGAAAGTTTTCTTGACAAAAAACGCGTTTTTTCTTAAAAGTATTATAGCGTTGATTAATGGAAATGGCTTTCATAAAATAAAATTTAGGGTGAGCTTTTGGTTAGCGAAGGGCTCGAACCTCTAAAGAAACGGGGCGCCCAGCAAATAACAAAACACAACCAAATAACACAATTTAAACCAAAAACATTCAAAAGCCATTCATTTCGATGTTATGAACCACCACAGCCGGTTGCTGTGCAATCAATAGGGATTCTTATTTCAATTATAAAAGTAAGCACATCAAAAACTCTCAAAAAACTCTGAATCTTCTTTTTTTCAATCAGTTTTTACCAATCGACGTTTTGCAATTTTTTTTCAAGGTGAAGATGAATAAAAAAAAGTAAGCAGATTGCACATTGTGATAAAGTAATCTAAAAGATATATAACTTTTTGCAGTTTACTTTAACTGAAAGGTCCGCCTTCATCGTGTAAATTGTATTTTTGTATCATTTAAACTGAAAGCATAATTTGATAGACCACTATTTCTCAATTTAATGTACAAAATTTTTGAAATCCAAATTATGACCCGTAAGTTTTTCATCTGATAGTAAAGCTGATCCCCTCTTCACACAAACTTGGCAAAAAACCAACTATTCGAAAGTTTGGTAGCTTTCGTGAAATAGTTAGAACAAAAAATCCTACAAGTAGAACGAACTTTCATTCAATTTTCTTTACCACCTGATTACAACTATACTGATTTTTTGAAAACTATGACTAGCATCATTTGGCAATCCTTCAACTATTCGATTGGCATCCGTTTGTCATTACACCGTAACAGCTAATTTTAGCCCCTAAATAGCAACAAGACTGCTCGTATCAGGGCGAAGCAACAAGACTGCCTTTTAAGATTTATGAAGCAGTCATAACATGAAATATTAAATGTAATAAATAAAATCATCCCCCCACCCGCAATATAAAAAACGAAAGAATAGATTTTATTCATTATAACAAGTCAATTATGGTAAATAAGCTTCTTTCGATCAATTTGGAGCAATTTCTAAGACGAATTAAATCTCTCTGCTTACGCGTTAATAGCCGAATTATATCGCCCGTTGATTGTACCGAATTGGCGAAAATGACAATTTTTAAACCCCCATAACCTAACAAAAAACGATCACGGGTGAAATATTTTTTCAAATTTAGGCTCAAGACAACAATAGCTTTTGAATGATGTAAAAATTTTTTGTCAAAAATGGCTAGTTAAAAAGTCGAAATTTGTCTGAAGAAAAAAAACCCACCCCGAGCACAAATACTCCGTTACTTTCGTATCAAAAGTCGGAACAGCAAGACTGCTCGTATCAAGACAAAGCCCTGAATGTTCCCACTGCCTTTTAAAATCTATGGAGCAAAAAATAACATGACAAAAATAAATATAATAAGAAAAATGAAAAAAAAAATTAAATATTGAGTTTTTTGTTTTAAATCATCACCCTACACACCATATGAATTAAAAAGTGATAAATTTCACTCCTAGTAACAAATCAATTATGGCTAATAAGCTGCTTTCAACCACCTTGGAACGATTTCTAAAACTGATTAAATCTCCGCTCACGCATTAATAGAGCGAAATTTATTGCGCGTCAATTGTCTCAAATTGGCCAAAATGGCAATCTTTAAACCCGCATAATTTTACGAAAAATGATCACAGGTAAAAAAAATATATTTTCAATTTTAAGCTCAAGGTGCAATATATTTCGAAAAATACAAAAAAAACTCCGTCAAAATGGCTAGTTGAAAAGTCGAAATTTGTCTGAAGAAACAAAAACCCACCCCGAGCAAAACTATTCCGTTACTTTCGTTACGAAAGTCGGATCAACAAGACTGCTCGAATCGGGGCAAACCCGGAGGTCTTGTCTGCATTTTAAAGTCTATGATGTAGTGTTCGCATTAAAAAAAATGGGTGACAAATAAAAAAAACTTTAGAAAAATCAAAATTTTTTTTTAATTTTTTTTTGTGAAATTTATCCCCCATACACTATTTTAAATTCAAAGTTACGTAACGTCTTTAGAGAAACGTCTTAAATAGAACACATAGAATGCCCCAATTGATTATGGAACAATTTGTAAGACGAATTAAATCTCCGCTTACGCGTTAAATAAACGAAATATATCGCGCGTTAATTTTCCCAAAATCGCCAAATAAGCAATCTTTGGACCTCCATAACTTCACAAAAAAAGGATCATAGCTGAAATATCTTTTTAGTTTTGAGCTCGGGACATTAATACTTTTTGATTGATAGAAAAAAGTTTCTTCCAAAAAATGCTTCTAAAATTTAGAAATTTGTCTGGAGAAAAAAGAACCAACCCTAGCACAAATGTTCCGTCGTTTTCTTCACAAATAGCTGAAATAAGAATATAGCGCTGGATTGAAACAGCAATTTTTTGCTACAAAATTACAATGGCTCATCGCTGAATTCTTGCTTTCCAAATAAATGCTTGCAAGGCTGGACCAAAAACCTATTTTGTGGATACTTTTGAACCTTTGCGCCACGAATACCTCGTTCATTTGAACTTATTGATATGATAAGCGAGACTCTATTACTAAATCAGTGTAAAAAATTTTTAAAAAGTTTATTTAATGATTTTAATTCGTATTAAAGCTTAAAACTCACTTGATTGCTCAACAAATGGTCACTTCTGGCGTCAAACGCAATCATGAGAAAAATTGCAACACGTTCTACTAACAGTTTTTGACGTTTGCTTTCAGGTTTGTCAATTTGAAGCGAAGAGCAGTTTTTTCTTGAAATACTCGAAAAACCAAAGTAACAAAGAAAATTCTTTCAAAACTGAGCTAGGGATGGTGGGTTATTCTAGCAAATTAATGCAGTTAATAACATCAATTGAAATTACAGTAAATTCAACTTGCTTTTCTTATGCTGGAAAAAATGTTACCTTAAGTTCAAAGGTAGAAAATTGTTTTTCAATAGAAATTAGTGAAACTGTTTGAAAATTGATAACTTGGTCTAAACTGGAATAATTAAGGCTAAATACATTTCGCTCTATTAACGCGTAAAAAATTAACGGTAATTTGTCCGTTTTTTGAACTTGATCAAACTTTAAACAAATTTATTCCGGACACATAAAGGAACAGTTAGAACATTCAAGGCTTTGCCCTGATTTGAGCTTTTTGATTTTATAAAAGAATACATTTAAAAAAAACGAATTTTCTTAAAAATCACTGTTCTGTTTAAGTTAGATGACTCAAACGTAGCAATTCGCACAGCTGCCTCAGGTGTGGTCACCCTCGGCATATTCTGCCACGCAGGATGTCTGCTTAACTACTCATTGGGTGCATATCTCATGGTCAATTTCCTCAGACACAGCCACAAGCACACTGCAACATGTCTATACCCAATCTCTGCTGTTCTCATACCTTGTAAGCCCTCGAGAATATCGTTTTAATTACAGGCTACAAACCGTCTAGCTGGACTTTTTAGAGTAACCACTAGTCTATTGTAAACCCCACTTTTTCATACTCCATACTTGGAGCCCATATATGTGGCTGATATAAATCTGAATCAGCTTTTTTAATGCGTTCTGCTTAGAAAGCTGGAACTTAATCGGCCATTAAATTTCGCCATCTTGGAATTTGAAATAAAAGCATTTAGACTTTCAAATAGATCTCAATTCTGAGACCGGACATAACTAGTTGAGCTCAAATGGTTACCTTGTAAGTTCTTTTAGGTTTCGTACAATCACGGGGCATCACGTTTTTTCGTCGTTTTCTCTGCAGTTCTATAAGATATAGAGTTAAAATGTTGATACATTTTGAAAATTTTGAAAATTTTGCTAGATTAAAATATTTGGAAGGACTTAGCCGGGCCAAAATTTAAAAACTTTGTTTCGAAGGCGTGAGTTAGCCAGTATCTCAAAACTAGCCAGCAGTTCTTCAAGATATAGAATTAAAATTTGACACGTTAAAATTTTGAAATTTTTGCTAGATTGAACTATTTGAAAGGTTTTAGCCGGGCCAAAGTTTGAGAAATCTTGTTTCGAAATTGTAAACTAAACTAGTTGGAAGGACTGAGCCGGGCCAAACTTTGAGAAATCTTGTTTCGAAGGCGTTAATTAGCCAGTATCTCAAAACTAGTTTTGTTGGTGTTCTTGCTGTGTAAACATCCTCGCAAACAAAATAAAAAAGTTCAATTTTTGAGTTCAATTAGTTCTTTGGGAAGCTGATGAGCTTGACTTACATCCTATGCCACCAGATAACGGCAAATAACAGAATTGAAAGAGTTACCTGGCCCGGCTCGAAAAAAAAGTACTGCTCCAATCCATGCAAGGATTCTCAGCAGCAGTTATAATGTGTGTAATTTTTTCCAACTTTCTAGTGCAAGCTCCACAAAACTTTAGTATGTATGTCGTCAAAACAGACTCGACCGCTGTTTGACGCCGGGCCAAGTAACTCATTCAATTTTGTTATATGTCGTTATCTGGTGGAATAGGATGTGCGAAAAGCTCATCAGCTTCCCGAAGAACTAATTTGAGCCCACAAATTGAAAATTTTTGTATTGTTTGCGAGGATGTTTCAACAGCAAGATCACCTCTAAAACTGGTTTTGAGATATTGGCTAAATTACGCCTTCAAAACAAAATTTATCGAGTTTTGGACCGGTTAAGACCTTTCAAATAATTTCATCTACCTTTTTTCAACCCTGTATCTTAAATAGTTGCAGAGAAAACTAGCAAAACGTGAAGAAAAAGTTCGTTCATTTTTTCGATGAAAGCAAAAAGTTGCAACTTTCATGTCCGATTGCTGCTGTAGTAAATTTTAAATTTTAATTCATAAATCTGTCAAAATTTACAAGATCTTAAAATTTCATTAAAATTCATACAAGATCTGACAAAATAAGCGTTCGCTGAAAAAAAAACAATTAGTCGATGTTCAGATTTTGTAATATTCTTGTAAGATGGAAATTCATTTTTGTAAGAATCTTACAAGATCTTACAAGGTAACCATTCAAGTTTGACCAGGGATGACAGTATTTTGGAAGAGGTTGTAAATCAAGGCAAGCATTTTGCAACAATGGCCAATGCTTGTAGCTGAAAGACACATAAATCCTTTACGAAACATAAAGAAAAGAAAAATGCAGCCTTAGCTAAAAGCTCATATTGATTCACCCCTTTTGTAAGAAGCTTCTGTCGACGCATAAAAGTTTCAATCTTATTTGACGTTTATCCAACGACAAGGGAACCATTATACCACATTGTTGGCTCAATGGGACCGATTATCGAGAATCGGGGCTTATCCTTCACTTACTCTTAAACTTGAGCCCATTTATTCCTCCTCGTGAAATTAGAATAATTGAGTAACCACTTCGAGCATGTTTTACCATACAAGGCAAAAAATGAAGGCTCTAGATTAAACAGTAATCTGATGTTTTGAACGAACAATCTGTGCTTAATTGACAAATGTTTCCTGAAGAGTTTGTCATTTTCAATTGCTCTGTTGAACTTTCTTGAAAAAAAATGGAATGGCATTTGTGGTGTACTTGTTTTTTAAACTGATCAACCAAATTGATAATTTGAATGTTTGACGGTTCGATTTCTTTTTCAAATTTCAAATTCTGATTAACTTCATAAATTGTGCAATTTCCAAAAGTTCCAAAAACTCAAAATATGACGCGCCTGACTATAAATTTGCAAAGTGTGTATGGTTTTAGGTTCTAAACTTTGGAAATGATTTTTCATCCAGTTTTTTCAAATATGACTCGTTTAATAAAAAAAAATTATTTGAACTTTGAAGAGCTTTAAAATTATTTACTTGTTCTGCCAAAAAATATTTGACTTCAAATGGCTTTTGAATTAATGCTCTCAAACTAGCTGTTAGCATCACATTTAGTTTGAACCAAAAAGTTTAGTTTGAGTTCATCGCAAAACTTAGAACTCTCAAAGTTAGAGTTGTACTGAAAAATTTCAAAAAACTAGAATGACAATGACTGATTGGATTTTTGACGTTGATTACTGGTCAATTAGCACAGAAAGTTCCGACCACGTTGATTCAATAAAAATATTTTTTTAAATGTAGTTCCATTTTTTTATGTCGTGAAGCGGTCGTGAGGCGGTCGTCTTTTTTATGTCGTTTGCTTAAATTGATGCTTTTCGGCGTCTGAGCCACAATGATTTACGGAAATTTGGCGATGAGCAAATAAACAGCGGAAACGAAAAACAAATTTGCTTGAAATTCAGTTTTTGGTTGAAAATTTGATAAATTCTTTTCTTCTTTATAACACCCCACACATATGGGTGAGCTTAACGTCTCGTATTCTGATAATTAAACCATAAGAACGCAATATATCGCGCGTTAATTATCCCAAATGGGTAAAAATAGCGATGTTCGAAAGCCCTTAACTAACAAAAAATGATTTCAGCTAAAAATTAGTGTGCGCAGGGGCGGATCTAGAATTTTCTCGAGGAAGGGGAGCGGTTGTTGCGGATTTTCAACATTTTTTTCGAAAATTTTTTCGATTTTTTTTAGGTTCACCAAATTGATTTTTCGATCGCTCTCAGAACGCTATAAAGACTGTATTTTGACAAAATTTTCAAACTTTTGAAAACACAGGTCAAAAATGCCGTTTTTGGGAACTTTGGAAAATAATGGCCAAAAAATCGCATTCTTTGTGGGCGCGCTCCCTTTCAAAATGAGTATACATTGGCGCTGAGTATACATTGGAGCCAAAAATGGATGTCATCATATTATAATACCAAAGGGGACCCTTTGGTTGATCAGGGGGTCGAACCCCTGAAGGGGAGAGCTAAACCCGCCGCTGATTGTGCATTTGAATTCCAGAAAACAATATCTTTTAAATGGTGGGATGTTTTCGTGAAAAACGCGCAAACTCAAGCATAAATTTTTTTTCTGTTTTTCGAAAGTCGGAACAAAAAGAGAATAAGAAACAAAACAAAACAAGACTGCTCGTATCATGGTGAATCCCTGAATGTTCTGACTGCCTTTTAAGGTTTATGGAGCAGTAATAACATTTTAAAAAATAAATTTAATAAAATAAAATTAAAAAAAAATTTCTAAAACTTGAAACTTTATATGAAAATCATCCCCCCACACTCCATTTAAAATACAAGAGGATAAATTTTGCTCATCGTAACAAATCATTTATGGCGAATAGGCTTCTTTCAATCAATTTGGAACAATTTCTAAGACGGATGATTAAATCTCCGCTTACGTGTTAATTGTCCCAAATTGGCCAAAATGGCAATCTTTAAACCCCCATAACTTTACAAACAATTATCACAGGTGAAATATCTTTTCAAATTCAAGCTCAAGACAACAATACCTTTTGAATGACTTTTAAAAATTCCGTCAAAAATGGCTATTTAAAAAGTCGAAATTTGTCTGAAAAAACATATAACCCGTTACTTTCGTATCGAAGGTCGGAACAAAAATGTATTCGGTTTTTAATCTTTTTTTTGTTTCAAGATAACTTTGGTGAAGTCCTTCTGTCAGGAATTTCTAGATCCGCGCCTGATCTAGATTTTGTAGGCGTTCTTCCAGGATTCCCCTTCCCTAACAATTCAGCTACTGGATTCTTTATTTATCACACAGTCACCAGTTACTAGTGTTTTTTCAATTGATAGCAACATAGATTTTAATTAATACTGCAAGAACACTGGACAAGCAAAAAATTGCATAAAATAATCGGCGTTGAGTGCACTTTGAGTTGTTACATATGCGAAGACAACGACTGCCAGTGCGTACAAAACGATTATGGACCCATTATGTTTCAACCATGTCTTCAGCGTTCGGTTTTTTAATCACTACGTCGATAGAAATCGGCAACAAGCATTTTCTTGGTAGGTTCATCTCATTATCTGCCTCATCATAATGGGCGGCGGAGGAATCTGAAACATTAACAAATTTAGCTGCGGTAAAACTAAAAGAGAATTAAAAAACTGTAGAAATCATGTTAAAAATCTAAACAGATATGATCTGGGTTTAGGCTTTGAAAGAAGGTTCTTGTACCGCACCAACAACAACAGCGCCCACTTCGGAAATCGGCTGGCGTCTTTTACACTTGAAACAAAACTCCAGTAAATCGTAAAATTCATGTTTTAAATAGCGTCTAATGTCTTAAGTTTTTGCCTATGAACTCGCGCGATTCAGTTCTTTAATGAAAACAGATATCAGTACGCTACTGTTGGATATGAGCTAACTCTGTAAGAAACAATCAGTTACTGCAAAAGTTATTGATAGCGGTTGATAAATATTAACACATGATATATTTTTTTGTAAAATCAATCATTGATTGCATTTTTAAAAAACGATTTTTTGTCCTGAAAAGGGTTAAGTTTTTAATATCGGGAACCTAATCGTCAAGGTCAGGGGCGGTGGCATCTATCTTTATGATGTTAAAAGAATTATTCAATTGAAAAAAAATGGAAAGGAGATCCCAGTGGAGGTTATTATGTCATTTTCGTCAACATTTTGCCTGTTGAAATTTTCGCGCCACTGGTTTAACGGTGCTTAGTATATATTAATTTTGATGGGGGGGGGGGGGGGGGGGGGGTGCGCGCCCAAAAAAATCAGTTTTTTGTCAAATTGTTCCAAAAAGTGCCTAAAAAGCATTTTCTGGCCCGTTTTTTTCAGAATTTTGCCTGTGGCGCATAAAATTTGAACAAAACAAGGTTTTTTAATGCCTCGGAGAGCTTGGAAACAATCTAGTCAAACTTTATAGGGCTTAAGAGACCCCCCTTGCGGAAATCCTAGATCCGCCCCTGGTTCACTGATTCTTACTTCTTACTGTTTTCATGCAGAAGAGCTAAATTATAATCCATTATAATTGATTTTTCCTGTGAAATATTAATTTGAAAGAAAAAGGGATCATAATCTATTATAATAGATTATCAGAGAATAAAAGAGATTTTCGGAAAAATTATAATTGATTATATTTATTAAAATGTCACCAAAAATGTTATCATTATAATGGATTATAAATCTTATGAACATCTAAAATTGGAGCTTATAATTAATTATAATTTTGCTTAAAGTACGATTATAATTGTAATATAATCAGTTTTTTTTCTCTTTTTACTGAGTGCGGGTAGCCTTCTTGACTTGAGCAACTCCACAATTAACTACTTTAACTTTAAATGCTAGGAGTGCCTGTTGTTCTAGTGACTGGGCACTTGGATGTGTAATGGTTGCTTATGCTAGGAGCGCCCTATTGAGTGCCTGGATAAGATTGATTATTATACTCTAATATCTTATTATTATCTCTAAGTTGCTCATTTAGTTCAAAATTGTTCAAATGCGTTTACTTTATTCTGCAAAAAAAAATTCAAATTCCTCCGTTGCCATAACAATTCAGAGGTTCTTCAAATCATAATGAGGCTTGTTAATTTGTCTTAACCGTGTAATATCATTAGCGAATTACATCGTTTTTGTATTTAACGTATCATGTAGTGCCCGCATTGGGGTTCCATGGATACTAATCGATTAAAATGAATTTTCAAGGTCTGTGATTATAAGCAATTATACTGGATTTCAAATAATAGATTTAAATTCTTTGAAAATAATGGATTCTTATGGATTCTAATTGATTGTATGGTCATAAAGTGTTATTACAAACGATTATAATAGCTATATTTTTGACCACGAAAATGGATTATAATCGATTATTATCCATAGTACCTCATTGCCGTTTGAACCAGATATCAATTTTTTCAGTTTTTTTCAACGTTGATTTTTTTTTTCAGTTTTTTGCCATGAGTGTGTGACAACTTTTTTGAGATCATACAATGATAAAATACATCACTTAACTATCAGAGCATTCGGATTTCCAAACAAATCTTGTTTTTTTTCAGGGATTTTTAGTTTTGTAGAGTTGCATTTTTTCAAATGATTAATTTTTCGATCTGTAAGATAATGATACCCAGCGCTTATACTGAAGTATGCTCTGTCTAAAATTTTTCGAAATTTTCTACAAAATTTGCAGTTTTTTCTTCATTTCTCACAGCCTACTGGATTTTCATACGTACTCCGATCTACTTAATTTTTGCAAAACGATATCCAGCACCTTTTCAACGCCCTTCTTCCAAGTAAACTAATCCAATGTTTACCTCATCCCACCACCTTTATCCCCCCTTTTATCCCCTCAAAGACTAATAAGGGATTAAAGTACGTAAAAGGATAACAGTGGGAGGAGGGCTGGTAAGTGGAGGAAGTAAGATTGGTATGCTTAATTGTGGGATATCTCAAATAAGAAACTAACGAAAAAAAAACGTAGAAAAAATAAAAATAAAAAAACAATAAAACAAAAAGTATAGGCCAAAAGTAAATCTCAATTTAACGGATTCAATGTTCATGTTTTGAAACAATACGGAAAATTTTTGGAAAAGCTAAGCTCTCGTGTAAAACAAATTATGATTCATGATAAATCTTTATAATCCATTATAATCCACTATAATCCATTATAATAGAATGTTTTGGTTTAAACTGATTTCTTTTTTGCTTATTTTTTTTTGTTTGATAATGAATTAATAATCCATTACTTTCGATTATTTTAGAGTTTTATAGATACAGACCTTGAAAACTCCTTGAAATCCATTATTATCCATGGAACCTCATTGCGGGCTGATACAAGTCGCCTTTAAACTGTTCCATCGAAAAAGTTCCATTCGAAGTCGAACTACTTAGAGTTTTTATTTCTTCTTTTTGGAGACAAAAAATTTCAGGTCATGTTAATACGATCTTTTAAAAACGCCATCTAAATTTTTTTTCGCCAGGATCAATCCATATGCCTTTTTGTAGTTGAAATGCCCATTCAAAATTAATTGGTTTCTGTCGCCAAAAGAGCGAAAGTGAAAAGATTTAATGACACTTGTTTGTTGGCATTATTCGATCAAGGGCTCAGTTTTGGTCTTTTTTAGTTCTTAAGCTGAGTGTTATTCTCTGTAAAACATATTCAAACTTTAAAGATGTTCCTATTAAGGCAAATAATGAACTGATATATCGTGAAGTTCGGAATGAAGTGATTCCAACAAAAATTCTTGATTGGAATTCTTGATTGGAACAAAATGGAGCAAGAAATTAATTGATTTAACGAAAATAGACAACTCCGAACTTTAAAGTTAAAAAATATGACCTTGCATCCAGTCTAATTGATTCATTTTTTTGAATTGACAATTTTAGATCAATGAAAATTTCTTTAAAATATTTGTTTGAACGTTTTCTGAAGATTTGGATTTCAAAAAATTTATTGCACCTAGGTCGAGACATAAAAATTACTTTAACAAAAAAAAGAGAGAGAGAGAGAGAGAGAGAGAGAGAGAGAAGAGAGAGAGAGAGAGGGAGAGAGAGAGAGAGAGAGAGAGAGAGAGAGGGAGATTCAGCTTGTTCTGATTCTTCGCCTTCTAGAGCTCAGTGTCAATTAGAAAACAATAAATCTGAATTAATCAAGAAAGCTATAAGCTGTTTCAGCATTGCTGAATGAAGTTCTCGATGCGGTATCAGTGTCTAAATCAGAACGATAAGCGCATCTAATCTTATGGAGTCGACTCCTATTTCCTACTCAAAATCTAAGTACTTTTATTTTTAATTTTCCGCCATATTTAGTTTGTTATCGCGACGCTATTTAAAGCCGAGGCCAAAGTTAACAAACTAAGAATTCTGTTTCCTGAAGCTCTTACAAATGAATTTGTGATCAAAATCATAAAAAGAACAAATTTACGAAAAAAGAAAAAAACTGTTAGAAGCTTGAATAGAGTTTGAAACACCGCGTTTTTTATACTGCCTGGATGGTAGGGGCTCAAAATTAACAGGGTATTTGTCTGTAGTCAATTTTGACAATGTTATGAAAGTATGAAAATGAGACTTATAGTTTGAATATTATAACTCAAATTGGGATAAAAAACGAGCGATATTTGTTGTCCTGTTATAGCATAAGCAGCAAAACAAAAATCACTCCCATTTGAGATGAAGTATGTGTTTTGTTCTTTTTGATACGTTAATATACGCAAAATATATCACTTAAAACTTCTTATAGCATGTCAAAGGACTAAAAATTGAGAACTTCGAGGAAAACGTTCGAAATTCTTTAATTCTTTTTGAATAAATTTATTTATGTTTTGAAAACAATCATTATACAAAAGTTTTCATTGCAGAGGATATTTAACAAAAAAAATAAACAATTCGCATATGTTTGGTGATCAAAAATCAGCTTAGTCTAATCAATTGATGACCTAATTAAGCAATACAACTTTAAGCCCCCGGGATACTAGGAAGCTTTGAAAAAAAAAACAATTTTTGTCAGTTTTATTAATTGTGTAAATCGTAAAAACCATGTGTTGTATAGAGTAATTTAGTTCATTTCGGAAGCTGTCAATCAAATGTTCACTCTCGGTGCTAGACTAATTGATTAGCAGGTGTTTGTCCATGGAACAGTCTGTCACCCTTGGATTGTGTTCTCAACCACTCTCTATGCTAACTTTGTAAGATTAAGTTGACTATCTTTTGTATCGGAATTAACAATTAGAGGACTATCGTTTTACCTTTTCAACATGGCGCAGTCAGCAGTCTCAGGTGGGGGAAAGAATCCACTGGGCATCACGGGATTTTGGCCAGCGAAATGCACGGAACCGCCAATGATGTGGGAATTTTGGATTAACAGATTCCAATGGGGAATGGTCGCCAAGCACTCACTAAACCCGAAGAACTTCTACTACGCCGACACTCTCTCAGCTGCTCAAGTTACTGCCAAGTTACTTCGTTGCAAGAAAAAGTGGACGCTGAAATTGATAAACTATTGCAACAGGGCCATATCGAAAAACTAACAGAATGCTCGGACAAATATTTTGTGTCCCCGATAGTAATAACAGTAAAAAAGGATGGGTCCGTGAAGTTA